GTTCGCTGAGGTCCCGGGTGCAAGCACCGAAACTCAAAAAGTTGGGGAAGCCAGGGACATTGAGATTGACGACGAGATCCACCTGCAATTCCAGTTCAGTGTTACCATTTTCGTTGACGGTGATACTGGGATCAAATATAGGTTTATACAAAATTCCATTCTCGATGAACCGATTTGCCTGCACTTCGTAATCTCCCGGGGCCACCAACACCTGGAACTGGGGGTTCTCTTCGTTCATGTCCACCTTTTCCTTGTGAATAAGGCGGGTTTCTTTTTGAATGAGGTGCACCACCATTGTTCCTGCGGTTATTGAGCCCGACTTTTTCAGCTGGATGGGTAGCTTGACGGCATCCGAGACTTCTATCTGATGCTGAGTCACATCGCCAGCCGTAATCAAGACGGATTCATTGCTTGATAAATCAACCTGCTTCGGAGTGAAGTCATATTGAACATTATTCACAATGATCGAATCCACGCTAATAATTGCATTGTCATCCGATGGGAGTACTCGACGTGGCTTTGTGGTCTGTGGAACCGAACTCCAAAAATCATGTAGCAGACTGTCTTCGTTGCTGAACTTGACATGCACTTCCTCTCCCTCGAGCCCGGCTATATTGTCAATTACAACTTCTGTCGCGCTGTAGTGATGAACATCGTACGTAACGTTGACATCTGAGCTTGTAGTCCCCTGTTTGACCTCCACTTGGTCTGGCTGAGCCTTTGCAGTGGCAACGGTGGTTTCATCATCCGTGAAAACTTCTGTAGCAGCAACTCCGTAGTTGCCCCGGTTCAAGGTGACCTCAGTCTTTTGACCGAATGGCACCTCTTTCATGATTATTCCATCATCGTTTGTGAAAACCACCGTCTGGTTGGAGTAGGGAATCCCATCCGGTCGACTGTCACACACGATTGGGACGGTACCGGTTTCATCGGGCAGAAAATTCTTCCACAGACGCACCGAGTCCTTGTAGTGCTCATCTTGCGGATTGCCAGCCATTTCCAGCTGAACATCTTTGACTTGAAACTTGTCGGCTTCCCCATCCCAGTTCGGCTTGAATGTGATCTTCACAAGGACTTCGACATCATTACCACTCGAGAAATTGCTAACCTCACATGTGAAATCGTACCAGGGATCAGTGGAAACATTGACCTCTGTATCCTCGACCTTGACGGGTGATAGTAATGCAATACCAAGGTAATCATCCTTGGTAAAGTCCACAGGATTGTTGTCCTTGTCGCGTAAATCTTTAAGTTCTATCACACCCCAACTAGGCGATGAGGAGCTTGCTGTGATAGTAGCGGACATCTCGATACCCGAGTCCGTCGCTCGAGATCGACGGAGATAGTTCATGATTCCGGTCATGATTGCAGGCAGTTGACCCAGGGCTTTCTAAGCTTGTTCTATGAGGAGTGGGCTAGATGCCAAATTGATATGTGACATTTCAACTCGGGTGGATGAGAGAGGAACTATTTATACAGCCAACTCTCCCTAAATCGTGACTATATTTGCAGGCTCAATGGAGTCGTGATAGACGCAGGCAAGATCTACTTCCTGCCACCTGTGGCTAGCTGGTCTCAAGTAATATGCGGGGTTTGCAGGCGAAACAGACGTCATGAAAAGACAGTAGCCTGTCGGAGACAGCGACGCATCAGCCTTGGAAGTCGTTACTGTCACAGTAGCACCACATATATCAAGGGTCTCAATGAGCGTGATGGCTTTTTTAATTGGTTTGCGAGTACTATCGTGACTATCACCGATGACTTACACGACAATTTTATGCTGCCTTCAGAACCATTGCCGTCATTGGCTTTGTATCATACCCTGAATCTTGAGAGGCCTGGTACATACACCATGGCTAGCAATCCCCACCACCCAGCAAACGCCCAGCATGACAGACTACGGCTTCTATACTAGCTTTCAGGCAGGTAGACGAGTCATTGTCATCAAAATGCTAAACATCATGTCTGCGGTACGTAAGTATTCAGCCGTGGGAAGTAATGATCCCTGGTCGAACAACAAATACTACCATTCTTGACAATCCAAGGAGCCAACTTATGCACCTTGTGTACCCCGGGTATGGGCGTAATGCCTGCATTTTTAAACTCAATACAGTGGTACGGTTCACCTGCCCCAACGTAACTACGCACATTGGGGTTACATAGACCATCAATTGGCTCGTAGGACTTCCCCGCTTCTCAACCACCATGTAAAGCGCAAGCGGGAAATCAACTGTTTTGTAGTTCAGCTAGCTGGGCATCAGCTTACATTGCCTGCATCCTTGTAGTTGAGTTCCGAGCTATAGCCCTGACTAAACTCTGCACGCTTACACAACCACTTATGCGGTGTAGGTTACTCGGTATTGGGCAAGTAGGGATGGCACCGTGGGTACTTTCATGATACCCTTGCTTACCGGTTTCCTCAAGGCATGATTGCAGACAATACCATGCTGCTTCGGAATGACGTGGGCAACTCGGTCGAAGACTGATTACGCTGTTATACAGCATTTCTGCAGCAGTCAACATATTCTGGAACGAGATTAAACCAAGTCCAATAATGCAGATTCCACGCGTCATGGCTGCTGCTCATGCTGCAATCCAAGACGACTGTGGTAGCCACATTCCCCTCCCAGAGAGTCAATACCTACATCCATCCACGCATCGGTAGTCAGCACATAAAGTAGAAGTAGCTATAATGGAGAAAGGCCATCACATCGTCGTAATTCCATTGTTGTGGTGCCGCAACATGCATACAGTCGGCCGCGAATGGTCGATAGTTTTAAGTAGCGGTTGCATAAGCCACGGGGATGTCGTACAGTAAACGTACCTCGACGTCTGATGTGTGCTCGCAGACGATAAAACCTACTTATGGTTACTACCAACAGCGGGAGAAAATTGTCCGAAATAAGTACTCTTACCCTAGAAGCCAAGAATGTACCCTTATTCTGTTTGTACAAGATTCATGGTTCAGGCACACTCGACCGAATTAAGGGTCACATTTATCGGCGATACCAAGATTTCAGATGATGACAGCCCGACTCCTCGAACGTACCTCCACAACCCATGGTCTGACAAGGCTAGCGTAAAGCTTGATTATGCTCGTTGGATAATGCCGAGAATGTAACACAGAGTATCACAGACTGTTAATCTTGAAAGTCACTGCTGATTATCGTATGCATGTTTCTTTCTCTTTGCCTTCTTCCACCAAGGCTGTTCGATAATAGGGCTGTGTGCGCGGTTGCTGCTGTCAGATACTTTATTCTGTCTCACAATGGAGGTAAACATCAGAAATAGCTACCAAAATCATTATTCTTTGACGTGACGTAAGCTGCCTACGAAATCCCTTCCAGAGCAACACTTGTACTCTGTGCCCCAGGCAAAATGATCAGATCACATGAGTATCTTGCACAATTCACTATACAATTTCCCTTGTCAGTAGTATCGCATACTATTAAGATTTATTAGGATTCGTGCTGGAAATCTTATTTTCCCCATGTTGAAGTTGCTGGTGGCTTCGCCGACTATACTGGCAATGAAGCAGTTGATCGCGTCTTCCAACTACTGTGGCCTTCTTGGTAGAACATGAGAGCTTAGGATTCTCGCCGGCTTTGGATACTCCAAGAACAGTGATTCTGCTTTTAGAACTTTGAGCACATTGATCATGCAATGCAAAGTCCCAAACATGGATTAGCAACCTCTTCTCTTCGAAATCTTCCTCTTCGTCAAGCCGCGGTAGAAACTCATTCCTGAGCCAACCCCAACAGTTAGTTTCGAAGGATTCTTCAGCAGCTGCGTTATCTACCGGTCTTTGTCCTTTCTTTATGAATGCTAGGCACTTATTTCTATCGGTATTCCGCTTTGGAGTAACACCTTAGGTAATTCTCATCCCGCGCGCGAAAACTTTTGGATATGAGCAATCAAGTACGCATAAACCGCATAACCGGTGATATCCGGCCTTGGCCAACCTAGCAAAACCGCTCTTCTGTAAAGTAGCAATTCCTGTACCGGTACAAGCCAATCACATTGTTTGTATCTAGCCCCTCGGGAGACGCATTCTACGGGCTCCAACCCCGCCGGTAGAGGATGGCACGTTTAGAACAACAATCCACTGAAAAGGGTAGGGCTTATGGGACCCCTTCGTGACCCCAACGCTACGAAATTCTCTGGGCCTTTCTACATTTTCTCAGCGGACCTGACGGTTCTACTTCCTTTCGGTCAGTAGGTAGGGTAATTGATGCTCTTACCCTCACCGGAGACAGGTACATCGGCCTGGACCATTGTTTGTCAAGTGTATGCTCAGCCGAATGGGCTAGTGCGCGAGGTATCTCGGTGGGGATAAGGCAGCAGTTTCTGCAAAATAAATATCGAGTGGAAATGCGGAAGACTCATTTTCAATAATATATCTGAGAAAGAATGTAGAAGCCTGTCCGGCCGTCCGGCTGCAGACTTCTCCACGGCTCAGGCTCTTTCATGAACCGCCTAGAATTTTAGTATATGACACGTAGAGCTGTGCACGCTACACCAAGGTGCAACATAACTACGCAAGTCGTGTGCTTCTGAATCAGTCTAGCAGAGCGTTCCCTGTGTCATACACTTGCCATGATCCTGTTGGTTATGCAACCCAGGTCCTATGCTTCTCGATTCGGGGAAAGATCTTCGAAACTTAATATCTGCGTAACATTGCTTTCGATTTTGTGTAACCCCCATGACATCCATTGGTATGCTGCCAGAATGCCGGTTCGGAGATTCATTTAGTAGTCGACAGAGAACCACCGCCGTTTGCATCTCGATGATATGTCCGTTATAACGAGATGAAACACTACTACGCAACTCGACATAACGACCTCATGAGCTGACGACAGTACTATTGAGTAATTGACTTTTCCTGCAGGGCAGTTGGTATCATTGAGACGGGATTGCTTGTATCTAGTGCGATGATACGAATAAGATATCCCAAACTTCGTGGACCGTCAGGCTACTAAAGCCTGTCCTGACCCCAGGTAATGGCGATGTCTGCCAAAGTAACTTTGCGCTGAGCAAGACACATTTCAACTTACCAATATGTCAATTCCCAAAAACTGCACAGTCCTCGTAATTGGAGGGGGGGGCCGCGGGCTCCTATGCGGCCTCTGTGCTGGCCCGAGAGGGTATTGACACTATGGTACTGGAAGCAGAGGAGTTCCCTCGGTACCATATTGGAGAAAATCTTCTGCCCTCGGTGAGATATTTTCTGGATTTTATAGACTGTTACGACAAGTTCAACGCTGGCGGTTTTCTGCGCAAGGTATCTATTTCACGTCCCTCATTTAAGTACCTACACAGTACTCTTATTTTTCGACTAACAGGTAGAACTCACAATATAGAATGGCGCAACATTCAAATTCAATTCCAAGCAACCGGGCTGTAAGTCCCGTGCATGTTCTTCGAGATGCTTCAACGTATTTGGCTAATGCTTTGGCAGATACAGATTTTGTCGGAGCTGGTGGAGCAGGCAACCATGCGTGGAACGTCCTCCGCTCTGAAGCAGACGAGATTCTATTCAGACATGCCGAGCAGAGCGGCGCAACTGTCTTCGATGGTGTGAAAGTGCAGGCTCTTGATTTCGCTCCAACCATCAGCAACACCGACACCAAACAAGAAGGCCAAGACCAAGACTTGAGTAGAAGGCCCGTGTCCGCAACCTGGAACCGCAAAAAGGACGGCAGCACCGGTACAATCCACTTCGAATATCTAGTTGATGCTTCCGGGCGTGCCGGCCTAATGAGCAATCGATACATGAAGACTCGGATCCACAATAAACAGCTGCAGAGCATGGCACTATGGGGAATTGGCGGGGTGCAGGCACGTATGGGCCAGGGGAAGGGGATCCGTTCTCCGAGGCCGTAAGAGACGGGAGCGGGTGGGCTTGGTTTATCCCCTTACATAACGGCACGGTCTCTGTTGGGGTTACGCTGAAGCAAGACCGGGTTGCAGAGAAGAAGCGGGCGTATGGGTCTGTGTCCAGCAAGGACTTTTTTCTTGCTTGTTTGCATGAAACGCCGGGAATTGCGCTGCTGTTAAGTGGTGCTGAACTTGTGTCCTCGGAAATCAAGGCGGCGGCAGATTGGTCGTACAGTGCGAGTACGTATGCACACCCCTTCACACGTGTTGCGGGTGATGCGGCTTGTTTTATCGACCCGCTGTTCTCGTCGGGCGTGCATCTTGCCATGACGGGTGGGCTGTCAGCGGCAGTGACAATCTGCGCGAGTCTCAGGGGTGACTGCACGGAAGAGGAGGCTGGTGAATGGCATTCGAGCAAAGTTGGCGAGGCCTACACGCGGTTCCTATTGGTGGTGCGCAGTGCAATGGAGCAGATCCCATGGCAGGGAAAAGGCCGTTTTGAACGGGCTGGATGAAGCGAACTTCAATGTGGCATTTGACCATTTTCGGCTTATTATCCAAGGGACGGTTGATGCAGGTGGGAAACTGACCCAGGCAGAGGTGGACAGGTCAGTGGAGTTTTGCACCCGGGTGATTCGCAAGGTTGAGAGCGGATGTCTGGCAAACCTCGACAGCAGTCAAGCGGCAGAGTTTACCGCTAGGGGCGCTGCTGCTACATACTCGGAGAGTAGCCAGTGCGATGAGGTTATGATGAAAGTGGTCCGAATGAACCGGATTCTGGATCTGAACAGTTTTACGGTTGATATTGTGAATGGGATGGCGCCCAATATCGAACGGGGCACTTTGGGGCTTGTCAAGCAGGTTACTGCTTGAGCTCCATGTATGATAGGCGCGTTTATCCGAAGGACTGTTGGTTATCAGGCCTTCAATGGAATGCTCCAAATTTATCAAATAAGAAGATGGTGGGCTTAGTATGCACCTCATTGCCGAGGTAAAATAAACATACCCAACCTCTGCTATTATAGTGCTATATAGTTATTCCTAGTCGTTCAATTTTTGTATCAATATCGCCACTTTGTTGTTTTTCCATTTGAGCATTGATAAGGTAGTATTATCCACCTGGCAAAAGTACAACAGTCGGGCTTAGGTGATGTTCAATATATCATCTGCAGCCTCAGGCATATATGGCATCCACGGAACGGGCGGCAAACGCTGATTATCAATCCATCATCGGATAGAGATCCACTCGAGTGGAGAAGGACCTCTTGTCGAGGCTTCCCTTAAATCGGGTCAACTCCGAATTGCTGGTGTATAACGTGGGTTTAAATGTGGATGGACCATGCTCCACTTCTCCTGCCCCTGACATTGACCTCTAAATCCCGGCAAGCTGCCACGAATCGAGTCATCACACTCCATCTTCCACATCCATCTACAGCACCTCAACGATGCCCTACACCGGCCGTTGTAACTGCACCAGCGTCTCCATCACCCTGCCGGCACAGCCGGAGAGGAGTGTAGCCTGCCACTGGTAATTTTATACTCCCATACCAATCAATCATTAATAGAGGATCTAAGCTGATTGCATACTCTGCAGCATCAACTGCAAGAAAGCTGGAGGAGGCTGTATGTCTTCCTTTTCCGTCTCTACCCCGCAGTAGCCGCCCAGGACTAACCCCAATCAGCTTTCTCAATCAACTACTTCATCAATCAAAGTGACATGACTATCGAAGACCCCAGCCAGGCAATGACGATCTACAGCGATCCCAACACTTCTTCGGGGAACATCGTCCAGGTGGGTTCCCGTCAATTTAAGGGCACTAGTTGAAGCGTGCCGAGCTAATCCGTCTTTGTAGCGTCATTTTTGCTCCAGTTGTGGAAGGTCAGTTGTTGGTTTTGCTTCGCTCCTAGAACCATATACTGATGCAGCTTGAACACAGCCCACTATTCACGTTGTCGCCAAAAGTCCCGGGTAAAGCGTATCTGAAAGCAGCGCTGTTTGACATTGTGTCAAAGCCAGAATCGGTGTTTTTCGGCGATAAGCAGGAGGAGTGGGTGAGCATCAACACGGCATAGTGTGCTCACTGCTCAATGCTAGCTTGGGTGGAGCATTAGCGGAGTTAGGGTCCGGGGTTGAATGAGGGGATAATTAGCGTGATGGTCAGAGGGATTTTATAGAGTTGATTCTAGTCGAGATAGTTGCTCGTTGTCGTGAAGTTATATCTCAATAGATATCCTTTCAAATCTATTACGTCATACCCGCTGGCGAGGTCAATTCGCGAATAAAATCGATCAATCGGCGATTCCTTGATAGCAACAAACTTGGAAGAGCAATAAGCTCTGCTACTGCCGAGTATCCGAACCCAATCAGATAAGGGCCGGCCGGGGAAGCAGGGGGGAGTCGCCGACCAACAAACCAAGGAACCTGCCAGCCAGCAGTGACGCCTCTTCACCGCATCGACCCGTTCCTTTTTCCCATCCTTTTCTCCCAGAAGCAGCAGTAGCAGCATGTCACACAGCTTCCTGTGCGAGAGCTAAGAAGCTTACTGTACATCATGGTTGATCGCCAGGACCATTTTTCTGCACCGGACAAGGCAATCGCTGCAGCGACCGGTCGCGAGGAGATTCTCACCCCACCAGCTGCCTGCCACACAGCTCAACGACCTCATCGCGATGATGACGACGACGCCAGAAGCACTGATAACGACCTGGATGCCCTCGAGCTCCGCAATATAGCCACCCAAGATGACGATGAGGCCGGCTTCTCAACCGAATCGATCTCCTCGGGCGAATATCGTATCCGCACACATCGGACCGTTTCCCGCACCACTCATTCCAACAGGGAGGACACAAGCAAGGGGTTGCCGGGACGGGTTCGTCGCTTTTGGACGCGAAATGTGGTGTTGACGGTGCCGCAGAAGAGTAATCGGGATCATTTCGGTGAGTGGGCACCTCGCTTTCTGATATATACCTCGCATATTACTCCATCCGATATATGCTTTAATGACTATTGATGCCACTAAAATGGCGCAATCGCACGTGGCTATGGCGCCAGGCAATCACGAGCTCATCCATTCACCAACAATAACGAAGAAGGAATGCAAGGCTGCTGCTGACATCCCCCATTGCGTTTTAGCTTTAGAGCGAACTTTCTTAGCTTACATTCGTACATCGGTCATGGTCGCTATGCAAGGTGTGCTGATCGCCCAATTATTTCGACTCCAGCATTTAGCTTCGCCGGATCCAGCATTGGGGTTCTATGAAGTGGGGGTCCCCCTGGCGGTTAGCTGTTATAGCGTGGCAATTCTGATAGCTGCCATGGGCGCATATCGCTTCTGGAAGCAGCAGAATGTGGTGGCTCTGGGGACGGTGTATGCGGGGGGTTGGGAGCTGAACTGTATTGGGGTTTTGATTGGGTTGGTGAGTTGTGACTCGCTGCGTTGATGTCGCGGGATGTTACTGACATGGCTAGATTATTTTGACGACCTTCATTCTGTCACTGATTATTACGGTCGAGTTAAAGCATGATGATAACTAGCCCTTGAGGATGCTGATGATGATACGCCTTATGCCATGTTCTTGATGATATACGACCGATTTATAGGGTTGATATATCTGTCCGTCATAAATAGATGAATGTTCGGATATATGTTCATACCTAAAAAATACTCAATACAGGACTAGAATACAATGAAACTTTGATGGCCTTCTACATTGTTATTTCGAGTACTACTTAGAACCTTGATGCCAGACAGGACAAAATATGATATATCCGTCACATCGAGCAGATAGACAATTAAGACCAGCCCATGACGAGTACTAAGGTATTATCGATCCGTTCTCATCCAAAATATGCTCTTTATTACATTTGATATGCGAGTATAAGCTCGGGCGTGGTGATTGGCGAATCATAACTGTATATAAGCCTCGAGCTCGATTTCAGGAGCTTTATTAGCGACCACTGTATATCTAGTAAAACGTCAGACATAAAGTCAATAAAGAACATGTTTCTCAAGCAATGGCCGGATGGTGTAGTT